TTTCTTTCAATTTTTAATGTTTGGAATAGTATTTTTTTAGAAAATGTATGATTAAAAAATAATAAAATTTTTTCGATTTACGTGTAATATTATTATATGGATAATTGTGTGATTGAACTAAGAGAGGGAATAAGAACAAGCACTAATCTTATCGAATAAAAATTCAAATCATTCTAGCAAATGTCGATCTCTGAAATTTCGTCACCTTCACGAAATTCATTGATTGAGGTTTCAATTTCTTCGTAAAGAATTCAATCCTCATCTAAATTAGTTTCAGAAAGATTATTTTTCAAATTTTTCGATTTTGATTATTCATGAAGTGGATTATGGTCTCCTCCAATTCAAAGAAACTTAATTATGAACTCGTCGGGACAGATTTTTACGAAACACGACATGGCGACGAAGCTGAGAAGCGCGTTGGAAACACATCCACAGAGAAGAATCGGATCCTTGTATTCCACTCACCAATTTGTTTCTCATTTATTTTTCAAATTCAAATTATCGGGTTGAAATTCCGGTCATGACAACTCTCCGACTTCGCTCACTCAACTTGCTCTTTAGGTGTTTGATGAAATACACATTAGAAGTTTGGATCTCAGACGTTCATATATCATCAAAATCAATAGATAGCGTCGGAATAACCGAGATTCGAATTCTTTTGGGTTTTTCGAGAAATCTGGTGGCCAAATCTTGTAAAAGTGCTGCCCATTGGACTCCCTGAATAATCTCAAAATCAACTATGTGGATTTCCTTGGCCCTCTCAATTAGGGGTGTCAAACGGGTCGAGCGGCTCAACCGCTCGACTCGTGAAAACGAGGCTCGTGGGCGTCCTGGGCTCATCACATGACGAGCCCGAGTCAACCTGCTCAGCTCGCCTACGGACGAGCGCTCGTGGGCGAGCCCTTGAGTCCCTGCATGAGCCTACATTCTGAAACAGTGACCGTTTCAGACACTGTTAAAAACTTCATTGACCGTTGCAAACATGCAATTCAATAACTGAACTTTCAAAGTGGCCAACGACCACATTTTTTCTTCTTTTTTTATTCTATAAATATCCCAACCTATTTTCAAATTTTTTCACAAAACATTCCAACAATTCTTACACTCTTTTACATTTTAATCCCACTCTCTTCCAAGTTCTACATTTTCATTTTTACCTTCAACTTCAATTATTCAATGTCAATTATCATTTATCACACTACAACTTTATCATTACAATCTTATACAACAAATTTATTTTAATTCTTGATTTATTTACATACTCTTTATTTACTTGGTTATTTATTATACTTTACATTGAAGAAGACGATACTGTAGTATTAACTTTATTTGAAGGTGTATATATATGATTCAAATGCAATA